TGTATGGGAAAGAATGAAAATAAGAAATGTATTCGGGTCCAAATAAACACATTTTTCTCAATTTTAGGGAATTCAGCAAAATAAAAAATAGGAAAAAATAAAGCTGAAATCTGTATTGAAATTTAAAGTAGTACAGTTAACTACACAATTATAAAAAGAAAATACTCTCACTCTTTGAAGTTTTTAATTTTATATATAAAATTTCATTTTATTTCTGCAGTAGCAGAAAACTTCCATAAAGTCTATATTTAGGTAAATATATTTTGAGATAGGAATTAGAGTGTTTTGTTCTTGGTTAAAATGGGTAAAATGCCCGACTTCAAAATTTTAATGCATATTAAACTGTTCTTGGGAATTTTCTAAGATCATGAAAGCAGTATTGCTGTTTTTCAAACATCAGTGTTCTAGTAGCTTAAGATGGGGATATCTTCTATGAAGTTAGTGAAACATACTGTAATACAACATGAATATATACACTGAATATAATAAGTTATATCTAAAACATTTTGAATAAAATTTGAGGCATATCACTTATTTTGTTTTAGAGCATTTTAAAAGGCATTATATAAAATATTGTGATATTAAAGGATAATGAAAAAAGAAGTCTTTAAGCAATAAACAAGGTCTTCCTAGAAAGTTGTGTTTTTCTCGTGTCAGAGAAATGCTGAAGACAATGGTTCTTTGCCCAGTTTTTACATCACTCTGCCAAAAAAACCCCACAAAACCCACGAAGATTGTCTTAATATCATTTGACAATTTCACTCAAACAAGAGTTTAGGTACAATACTACTCTATGATGTACTATCTTCTGAGATTTTAATTTGTACTATAAAAATGTGTACTCTGAAAACATTTTCAAGAATACAATATCTAATTTAAGCTATAAATTATAATTGGTAAGATGTAATGATAATGAAGATAGTTTTACAGGCTAATATGCCAGACTAAACTCATAATAATTATATGAATAATTGGTTTGAGAAAATATATTTAAATAAATGCTTAAAGATTTGTAATAAAAACTACTGAAAAAGAACTTTCAAAAAATCTGAATTCATAAACTTGAATTGATAAAGTTTAGAAAAGTTACAGAGAAGAAAGTCTGTTCTTTTTAATAGAATGTCAGCCATATAATCGTTTATTTGCCATGTTTGAATTATTTGAAATTTAAAATGAACTGGATTTCTTGACTAAGGGGAATGCATGCATGTTTGGCATGAGTTCATTCAATACAAAATATCTCTTGAGCACCCTCCTCTGTGTTCTGTAGTGTTAGACCCTGAGCTGCAGTTTATAATGAGACCATCATGCATGTCCAGTTGCATATAGGTTTTTGAGTGTTAAGATATATAAAGAAAGGCAGAAAGATTTTTATGGTTACATGATGACTGAAAAAGTGGATATTTAGTTTTAATAGTGTGTGGTAACAATTTAATGAAGTGAATTGAGAAATTGAGGTTTCTTTTTAGGCAAGAAATCTAAAAGGTCAGTGAAATGCAGACAGGGATCAATTACTTCTTAATAGTTTGGGTAGGAAGATGGTAATTCCATGATACACATATGAAAATAAGTCCCATCCCCACTTTTCTGATGAATGAGGCTTACATAGGTAGCCTGACCAGGCATGTGTTTGGAATGCAACTGAGTTGAAGAAAAGCCAAGCCAACCAAAGTTGTAATCAGTTTTCTAAATTTTAAGGTAGAGCATAGGAAATAAGGAGGAAAAAAATGCAGAATATAGGAAATGAGGAAAAAAAAATATAAGAAGCATGGGCTCAAAGGATGAGAGCTGCCAGAGCTAGAGAGCAGAGCTATTGCTCCTTATTGCATTCAGTGATATGTGCTTCCCTAGTACCCACGTTAATCAGTAACCAAGGGATTAGCAAATATTTTATTACACCATGGAATATTTGGAAAGGCAACAAAATTGAACAGAAAAACATTGTTTTCTATCTGTGTCCTTCATTAAATTCTGTAACCTCCTTGTCACGACATTTTAAAGTATCTAGAAATTGGCCTACTATATTCATATTTCTTAGTGAGTGTTATTTTCTTTCCACTGCCCCACCCCCCCAAACCTTTCTTTCTCATGGCTGATTTTAGCTGAGGAGAGTAAGATGACCTCTTAATATAAAAAAGAAAGAAACTACAGAGGAATTCCACATTTTTATTTAGATAATCTATAATAACGGAAATAATTTTGTCCATTTCTTAATGTATTTGTTTAAAGGAGGGCATATTTAGAAAATGTATATATTACTTGTTTGATTCTTTGAATAGCTTATTGCCACAATTATTTAAATTAAAGTCTTCCTGTTTGCAAATGAGAAATATAAAATGTGGGCCTTCATTTGTGTTTTGAATGCTTGAGAAGAAAAAATAAATAAAATCTCACCACAACAGATTTTTAAATTTGAAGAAAATTACAGTTTTTCTCTCCTTAATTGAGAATATTCAGAGGAACAAAATGCTTATGCACATACTTTGAAATTATCACCTGAAGCAGTAACTATTAAGCTGTCTTGTCAAGTGCTGCTTGGCTTGCATATTTAATAATATTTGTGCTACCTTGGACTTCGTACACATAAAGACTGAATTGCTTGGCTTGTAGTCTTGGAATCTGCTGCTTTTTTGCTTGCTTTTATTTGCTACAATGATCTTACTGGAATATGTGATGCTGAAATAGGTCTTCTGTAAGTGATTTAAGGTGAACAATTTAAAATCCATTTGTATTTTGTTTTGGATGACTATCATAACATAAAATAAATATTTAAAAAGTAATAGTGTAACATTTTGGGTTTTTTTTTCTTAAAGAGAAGAGCTTTAATGCTATTTCCTTTTGTTAAACTAAAGACCATGTATTTAATTTGTCATGGTAGATGGATAATTTTCAGTTTTCATTTGGTTAGTTGAGGTTCTCATTTGCAAGAAATATTAATTGTTACATACAGGAATGATTTCTACTGTAGAGATATATACTTCAACCATTTGTGAATGGTTTAATGATATAGTGGTAAGACAGAAGGTTGGTTTAGAAAACCAGAGGCTAAGTAGAGTTTATATACATTATGAGAGAAGACAAAAATAAGATTAAATGAAATAACCAATGCTTCTCATAACAGCAGAATGTGAAATTTGTTAGGCAAGATAAAATCTTGATGTCTCTCTCTTGTGAATTTAAGGAACTCAGCAGTTTTATCTCATTAGCACCTTTTACTTATGTCTGCCTGATGACAGCTAGAATCTTGAGAAGGGCCATCTGAGGTATGAGATTTATTTGCACCCTTTGTGCTTTCACATTTTGCCCATCTTTGCCAGTTGGACAGAATGAAGAAATAATGCTACACTTAATATGAAGTCTAAAAAATGTCTCATTAAATTTATCTAAAATAGTCAGTGTTCAAAATCACACATTCTTAACTTATTGGAAGTTAGTGTGGGTTCTTTTCTCTCTGTTTCAGTGACTTTTTAATGATTTAAAATAAAACCATATATAGTTTTGTGAATATACATTCTATAAGGCTTAAAGAAAAGTTTTAGGCTATCATGATATCTTTATCAGGAATAAAACTTTGGTGCTAATACTGTTCTGGAAGTGCTCATTGTACATTGAGATTCTCAAAACTGGGGTACTTTATCAGGAAATAATAGGTGTATACCTATTCTTTGAACTGATCCTATTTTGAAAGCTATATAAATCATACTCAATTACTTTTACATCCTGTACATTTTCAGAATCTTAAAGTAACTATTCATAAAGTAATGCATTGATCAGAGGGAATTAATCCATTCACAGGATATAACAAGTCAGTTAATGTTCAAAATGACAAGACTGTGCATATTATAATCCTGTAATTTCTATTTTGTATCTGTGTCTGTATTTGTGGATAAATTCATGAATGCATATTTAGCTATCCAGTTAGTGAAAAAGTTCTGAGTTGCTAGGTTCAATGAAATAAAGATCTACTATTAATTTTAAACTAATGTATTTTTTTTCAAATTAAATTACATCAATGTACTATTTGTCATGTGACAGAATTAAATAAGTGACTTTTCATGTTACATTTTTCACGTTCTTTTTCACATTTGCTGTTCTTTTCTCATTTTACTTTTTAAAATTAGACATTTTTTCTCTCTCAAACTTTATCTTCTGTCTTACCTTTCTGTTACTATAACAAACCTTTATTTAATTAAATTATAAATATAAAGGGTATATTTTGGCTCACAGTTTTCAAGGTTCCAGTCTATGATCAGTTTACCCATTGTTTTTTGACCTATGATGAGGCAGCTAATTATAGCAGGAGTTTGTAACAGAGCAATACCACTTACCTCATGGACAGATAACAAACTGGAGGAACAGGAGGGGAACAAGGACCTAATATCCCTTTGCGGACATGTCCCCAATGACTTACAGACTTCCTACTATGGCAAACCTTTTAAAGATTCTGCCACCTCTCAATAGCTTCATGGGATGAGGACAAAGCCTTTAGCATGTGAATCTTTTGGAAATATTATCCAAATCATAGCATCTATCCTATTTGTTTATATACTACCGTTCTTCCAAAAATATATACTTTCTCTGCTTTGCTTCTTATTTAAATACCTTGACTACATTCATTTTATTTTACTTTTACTCTGAAGTACATGCCTCCTCCCCAAAAGATATTGGAACATATCATTCATATTTGTTCATCTTTGAGTTAATCCAAAGAGTTTATAATTTCTTAATTTCTTTAATTTAAAAAAGGAGGGGCTAAGGGTGTTGCTCAGTGGTGGAGTGCATAGTTTCATGGTGACACTAAGTTCAATCCCCAGCACCAAAAAAAAGAATAAAATTTCTTGTTAATTTCTTCTCCCAAATTTGTAGGGCTCTTTCTCTCAATACTATATATGGAGTTTATGGAGATTTCTATACATGAATGAATTTTCTTTCATGATTTTTTTTTCTATTTTTCCTGTTTGTTTTCTATTTCAAAATTTCTTTATCTCTTTTTTGTACAGTGGGAAGAGATTGGTGAAGTTGATGAAAATTATGCCCCTATCCACACATACCAAGTATGCAAAGTTATGGAACAGAATCAGAATAACTGGCTTTTGACCAGTTGGATCTCCAATGAAGGTGCTTCCAGAATCTTCATAGAACTCAAGTTCACTCTGCGAGACTGTAACAGCCTTCCTGGAGGACTGGGAACCTGTAAGGAAACTTTTAACATGTATTATTTTGAGTCAGATGATGAGAATGGAAGAAACATCAAGGAAAACCAGTACATCAAAATCGATACCATTGCTGCTGATGAGAGCTTTACGGAACTTGATCTTGGTGACCGTGTCATGAAACTGAATACAGAGGTCAGAGATGTAGGACCTCTAAGCAAAAAGGGATTTTATCTTGCTTTCCAAGATGTTGGTGCTTGCATTGCTCTGGTTTCTGTGCGTGTATACTATAAAAAATGCCCCTCTGTGATACGGCACTTGGCTGTCTTCCCGGACACCATCACTGGAGCAGATTCTTCACAGTTGCTTGAGGTGTCAGGCTCCTGCGTCAACCATTCTGTGACAGATGAACCTCCCAAAATGCACTGCAGTGCTGAAGGGGAGTGGCTGGTGCCCATTGGGAAATGCATGTGCAAGGAAGGATATGAAGAGAAAAATGGTACCTGTCAAGGTAAGAGTTGCCTGTGGATCTACAGGGGCTTTCTGCTTCAGTTGGATCATGCATATGTATTTCCTCCAATGATTATGAGCAAGTGACCTTTTACTTTGCTAATTTATGGAGATTCTTACTCTTCAAGTTTGATTTCTCTCTTCTCTGAATTTTAAAATTCCTGGCAACGATGAAAGATTTAATGTAATATTTTATTGGATATACATAACTAATACTCAGAGAGTGTCTGACTGGCTGTGCAATATTTCATATTTGCTTTGCTTTCAGAAGTTTTACTTTTGAACAACACAAGCCAAGAGATTAGTAACTTTCATGGTATGATTATGATCTGATGTTGCTGTTTTCTTTCCATATTTTACTTGCTGATTGAAAGTCAAATGCAAAATCTTAAAGGAGGCTTGTTTTGGTATGCTTTAAACTGCCTTTTAAAGTGTCTTTAAAAATAAGTTCAGCCATATGAGTTTCACAGCAAAACATTTGTAAATGGACAGGACTTGGGTTAGTATGTTGTTTACGTATGGTTGCTATTACATGCTTGCTTTTTAAAATTTACAGATCAATTTTAAATGCATAATAAGCAATGCCCCATGAAAATAACTGTTTGGAGATAAAGCCAATACATATAAAAGGTCATTTCGAAGCAATTTGCACTCGGAGATTTTTTCCTGTCTTAATTTTTCTTTTAAATTGAAACTTGATCATGCATGCTTCCCTGTTCATTTGAAAATGCTTTCATTTTGCCTGCAGTGTGGTAAGTTGCCCTTTCAAACTTGGATATTTATGAATGGCTTTTTGGAACAGGATAGTACTTTATGTCAAAGTGAAGACATTGGGGGAATCTTAGAGGGAAAAACAAACATTTTTTCCTTTAAATATTATTTGTCCTAATGAACTTGAACTTGTTTTCACCATGATGTGTGCATGTTAACTAAGTAATGGGAGTTCATGTTTATTAACTAAGAAGAAAACCAAATGCTGAGCAGTCCCTCAGTCCCTTCTGGTCGCTTCAGGTGCATTTTTATTTCCTAAGTTCACTGTATGCATTATGTGTATCAAACTTGTAAGTTTGCTCAGGCCAGCCTGTAGATGGGTAGACATCCAGGAAATAAACTAGGGATATTATCTGGAAGTCATAATGACTTTGGTTAATTCATTCAATTTAGAAACACATTGCATATACTTAAATTTCTTATTTTGTATTCTTTACAATATTATCTACAATTAATTCTATGGTTGTTTTTCTGTGTAAGTTGTAACTCGCCACACTTAATTTGTACCTACATACACGTGGACACCTAAAAGTTTTGTTAATTCAAAATAATGTTTTTGAAATATTTATATGTTGGTTAAGGAAATGAATCATAGTTTGTTCAGAACTGGATTTCAAGCAGTTAACATTAACTTAACATTCTCTTAACTTTTTGTTTTGAGCAGTTTTACTGGTTTACAATGAGGTCATAGGTAATTGTAGAATCAGAAGCAGGAGTTAAATTTAATCTCTTGACTATATTGTAGCCTAACATATTATAAATATGTCTTACTGGTTAAGTGTAAAATTTTGTTTATTAGTCTTTTAAAGAAGCATGGGATACTTGATTGATTACATTATTTTAGAGAATATATGGTGGCTTAAGATCAAACTACACTGAGCTTTATCTTCATATCTGCTTGGCAGAGGCTATAAGAGGCCTCTACATTTTTAGAGGATAAATTTTGATTATTGATGGGATTAAGCATTCTCCTGGTTCTTATGAAATATCTTGAGGGACTAGTATCTCTGACAGTATGTTTCTTAGTGGAAGCATTTAACACACTTCTTTCTCCCCTCATACTACTAATAATTGAATCAGGCCAGAGAGACAGAGGAGATGGGGAGGTAAGCTGCGGAGGTTGCACTATAGAAATCTTCATGAAGCAGACTCTCTTTTAATTCCTGCATTTAGCTCCCTACCCTACTAGCCTAGTAGGAACAAAGGCTTCAGGGGCCAAGTGTAAGTGATCTATATACTACAACAGCCAGAGACTGTTCTATACTGTGTGGTGTATATGAATAATGCTTTATGGTGTTTTACAATGAACAAATGATGTACAATTCCATTCTAGGAAGATTTTTTTTTAAATTCTTCTTTTCAGTTATACATGAGAGTAGTGTCTATTTTGACATGATTATACAAACATGGAATATATCTTATTCTCATTAGGATCCCAGTCTTGTGGATATACACAATGTTGAGATACCCTGTTGTATATTAATATAGGTACCTAAGAGAAGTTATGTCAGATTCATTTCACTGTCTTTCCAATTCCTATCCCCTCTCTTTCCTTCATCCCTTTTGTCTAATTCACTGAACTTCTATTCTCCCCTCCTTCTTCTGGGTTAGCTTCTACATATCAGAGAGAACATTCTACCTTTGGTTTTGGGGATTAGTTTATTTCACTTAGTATGATAGTCTTCAGATCCATCCATTTACTGGAAAATGTTATAAATTAATTCTTTCTTATGGCTGAGTAATATTCTATTGTCTATAAACCATGTTTTCTTTATCCACTAATCTGTTGAAGGATTCCTAAGTTGGTTCCATAGCTTAGCTATTGTGAATTATGCTGCTATAAATATTTATGTGACTATATCACTGTGGTATGCTGATTTTAACTCCATATACTACAGAGTGGCATAACTTGGTGTTTTCCTTTCTAGTTATTTGAGGAGTCTCCACACCACTTTCCACAGTAGTTGTACCAATTTGCAGTACCACCAACAATGAATGAGTGTACCCTTTTCACCATATTCTTGCCAATATTTATTGTTACTTGTATTCTTGATAACTGTCATTCTGAGTGGAGTGAGGTAAAATCTCAGTGTAGTTTTAATTTGCATTTCTCTAATTGCTAGGGATGTCGAACATTTTTTTAAAAAAAATTGTTGACCATTTGTATTTCTTCTTTTGAAAAGTTTCAATTTAGTTCCTTTGCCCTTTTATTGATTATCTATTTATTTATTTATTGGTGTGTTAAGGGCCACAGCCGAGTCGGTTTGTGGCCCTCAACATTGGTGTTAAGCTTTTTTAGTTCTTTGTATATCCTGGAAATTAATGCTTTATCTGAGGTGCAGATGGCAAAGATATTTCTCCCATTCTGTAGGATCTCTGTTCACACTCTTGATTGTTTCCTTTGCTGTGAAGAAGCTTTTTAGTTTGATTTCACTCCATTTATTGATTTTTTATTTTACTTCTTGTGCTTTATAAGTCTTGTTGAGGAATTTGGTTCCTAAGCCCACATGGTGGGAAGTTGGGCCTACATTTTCTTTTATTTGGTGCAGTTTCTAGTCTAATACCTAGGCCTTTGATCCATTTTGAGTTGAGTTCTGTGCAGTATGATAGGGATTTAGTTTCATTATAGTACATATGGATTTCCAGTTTTTCCAGCACCATTTGTCAAAGAGACTATCTTTTCTGTAATCTATGTTTTGGGTGCCTTTGTCTAGTATGAGATAACTGTATTTATGTGGTTATGACTGTGTGTTCTAATCTGTTCCATTGTTTAGCAAAAATTTTGAATGTTCTATAAATAATTTCTCTTTTTGGATGACTAACTCATTGAATGAATAAACAAAATTTTCAAGTTTGCTTTGGTGGTTTCAGAAATAACAGATATTCTTGAGGCATTTATATCTATACATAATGTATGTATGTAAATGTAAATATGTGTGTTGATGGGTGTGATATAAAATGCCATTATTATTGTCAGTTATTCTATGTTCTTAATACCCTATCCTCAAATCTTAAAATGGGAAATTGACGTTTGGAAATTATTCTTGATTAAAAAAAAAAAAAACAAAACTAGAGATCTTTCTGACACCGCTTTCCTAATCATTAACCATTGCAAAGTATTTACAGAATTTAACAACCATTGTCTTTTGAAATCATCCGCTTCTATTTCCTTTTTTCCTCAAATCCCTAAGCATACCTTATAGGAAGGAACTTCGTTTTTGAGTACACTGAATGATATTATATGTAGTTTTGACTTTGAACAATGTGAATATATCACTTACATAAAAATGCAAATCTTGTGGTTTTGCACACTCATTACCTCCCACCACTTTACAAACTTCTTTGGAGTCCTTTAAGATCAAACTTTTATAACACCCTAAAACTCTGCATGGGTTTTGCCCTTCTTATCTCTGCAGACTCTCCTCCCCTCCCCAACTACATCAGCTCCTCTTAGTTCTCAAAGACAGTTTACTTACCTTCATTATTTGTTTTGAAAGAATCCTGTTCTCATCCCCTGGAATATTTTTCAACCTCATTTATGCCAGCTAAATAATTCATGCTAATCCTTCAGATCTGTAGTCTAGTATGCCTTCTTCTGGGATGTAGTCCCTGACTCCTCAAACTAGGTCAAATCTCATTGTTATTTATTTATATATTTTCCCTTCAAATAATGACTTTCCCTTCTTTGATTACACTATATACCTCCTAATGGCAGGGTTGGTGTAGGTTGAGTTGACAAGTGAGAAAGAAATCAAAAGGCAAGAAGAAGGGAAAGGGTATCCAAAGAGAGGAAAGAAAAATGTGTAAGGGCATAAAAGAAGACTGCATTTTATAAATATTGATTTTTTTTTCTACCAGATATTAAACCCAGGCATACTTAACTACTGAGCCACATCCCCAGCACATTTTTATTTTTTATTTTGAGACGGGGCCTTGCTAAGTTGCTGAGGCTGGCCAGGAACTTGTGATCCTCCTTCCTCAGACATGCAGGTGTGCACCACTGTGTCCAGCTAAATATCGTGTTCTGTTGTTTTATTTTACCTTTGTATTTATCTGCAGAACATATCTTTGCTTGAACTGAAAATTTACAAATATTTCTTTTTAAATGATCCTTTCTTAATCTTAAAACTCTCAGGCCAAAAATCTCAATTTTTAGGGTTTAAACCATATGTGTTTGACACTTTATATATTAATTATTATAGTTTGTAATCTTAGTAAATTTTGCAGAGC